AACCTCTCTCTCCCTGTTCTGACTCAGGTAGAATTAATTTGAGTCTAGCCCATTAATATGCAAGGCCATCGGCCAGATTTTGCAGGCCTTGGAACAAAAGGTGGACTCCCTCCCTCCGTTTTTGTCATCTTGGTCCCTCTTGGAAGACAAGCAGAACACAGCAAGCTAGGAAAACAATGGTGGAGGAAAGGGCCAGTGTGCAAACACAGACACACACACACACACACACACACACACACACACACACACACAAACAGAACAATTGCCATTTTGTTTTGTTGCCTTAAAAAAGCTCACACAATCATTCACTATGCAAGGTTGGCATTCACATTCCACCAGCTTTGCTTATTAGCTAGATCTATGCCCTCCTTTTTTGGGGGGGGACGTGGTGGCGCTGCGGGTTAAACCGCAGAAGCCTCTGTGCTGCGAGGTCAGGAGACCAGCTGTCGTAAGATCGAATCCACGCGACGGAGTAAGCTCCCGTCGCTCCTCCCAGCTCCTGCCAACCTAGCACAAGCATGTAAATATACGAAAGCAAAAGCATGTAAATGCGAGTAGATAAATAGGTTCCACCTCGGTGGGAAGGTAACGGCCTTCCGTGTCTAGTTGCGCTGGCCATGTGACCACGGAAACTGCCTTCAGACAAACGCTTGCTCTATGGCTTGGAGAAGGGGATGAGCACTGCGCCCTAGAGTCGGACACGACTGGACTAAATGTCAAGAGGAACCTTTACCTTTACTGTGTCCTCCTTTTCTTCCATTGAGCCCAAGCTGGTGTGTACATGGTTCTTTACACATACACACAGACTTCCTTCTCACACCGACCAGGACAGACAGAGAGTGATTGAATGGCTCTGGATTGCTCAGTGGGTTCCATAGCTCAATGGAAACTTGAGCAGAGCTTAGAAAACTTGAATTTTAAACAACTCCTAGAATACCCCAGGCGACACTCAACAGTACAGTCCAGGAACTAAATTTTGGGAAATCTAGACTAGAACCTGAGTTTTCTAAGGCCCAGTCCAGTGTCCCTGTCACTACTGTGCACCATCTCTTTGGAAACAAAACAGAATTATTCTATAAACACATTTTTGTTGTGTCCTTTCTCATTACACCTTAGGGGATTAATAAACGGTATTAATTACAAATATTGGAGATACCGATACGCCCTATTAAAAGTCTATTAAAATCAAATTAAAGTCCAATTAAAATCGCTGTACACATGTGCCAACCTTCTTTTTCGCCATAAAACCCGAGCCAAGTTTCTCTGTGCTTTTGAGGAAATGGAGTTAATCTCCTCCTTTCTCAGGACAGATGCTCCAATGGCAACAAAAAACATCAGACAACATGTGATGAAAGTTGTATGGAAGTTGTCAATGCAGGTCCCATCCTATTTGCTTTCCCATCTGTCAAGATAATTTCTCCCTGGCCTGCGGCTTTGAATTTCAGTGTGCTGTACCTACAAGACTGTGAGATGCAGGGGGAATATCTTAAAGGAGTTAAGTAAAAATTTACAAAAGAGGGACGTGGTGGCGCTGCGGGTTAGGGACTTGGTGGCATTGAAGGACGTGGTGCCGCTGCGGGTTAAACCACAGAAGCCTCTGTGCTGTAAGGTCTGTAGATCTTCAGCTGTAACATTGAATCCACATGACGGAGTGAGTGGCCATTGCTTGCCCCCACCAACCTAGTGGTTCGAAAGCATGCAAATGCAAGTAGATAAATAGGGACCACTTCGGTGGGAAGGTAACAGCGTTCCGTGTCTAAGTCGCACTGGCCATGTGACCACGGAAGATTGTCTTCGGACAAAAACACTGGCTCTATAGCTTGGAAACAGGGATGAGCACCGCCCCCTAGAGTTGAACACGACTGGACAAAAATTGTCAAGGGGAATCTTTACCTTAACCTTTACCTTTATACCTACAAGACTGGGAGATGCAGGGAGAATATCTTAAAGGAGTTAGATAAAGATTTACAAAAGGTTTCATAGTAGGCCTCATTTGGGTGAAGGGTAACCAAAGTAATGGTGTAGCAAAAGAGGTTTCATAGTAGGCCTCATTTAGGTGGAGGGTAACCAAAGTAATGGTGTAGCAAAAGCAATGTTGGCTTAGGAGAACAGAAGAAAACTCCCACTGTATGAAATGCCAGCATCCTGCAACCCAACAGGTCAGGTGCCATGGGACTGAGCATAGATCTTCCCATCACTAATCTCCAGAACCTATCATCCAGGAATGAGCAGAATCATTTCACTATCATAGATTCGTAGAATAATGAAGCTGAAAGGGGTCTATAAGGCCATCCAGTCCAACCCCCTGCTCAATGCAGGAATCCAAATCAAAGGATATCTGCAGGTGGTTGTCTAATTTTCTCTTGAATGCCTCCAGTGTTGGAGCACGCACAAACTCCCACGGGCATTGGTTCCATTGTCATACTGTTCTAACAGTTAAGACATTTTTCCTGATATTCAGCCTAAATCCAGCTTCCTGTAGCTTGGTCCCATTATTGCGTGTCCTGCATTCTGGGATGATCGAGAACAGATCCTGCCCCTCCTCTATATGACAACCTTCCAAGTATTTGAAAAGGGCTATCAGATCTCCCTTCGGTCTTCTTTTCTCGAGGCTAAACATGGCCAGTTCTTTCGGTCTTTCCGCAGAGGGCTTGGTTTCTAGTCCCCTGATCATCCTTGCTGCCCTCCTCTGAACTTGCTCCAGTTTATCGGCATCCTTCTTAAAGTGCAGTATATGGAACTTCTCAAGAGCAAGGAGCAGTCCATTGGATTCTATATGTCAGGACAACCGATAGAACTTCTCAAGAGCATGGAGCGATCCATTGGATTCTATATGTCAGGACAACCGATCAGTTGAATGGCCAGCCTCCTAGCAGAAAGGAAGAATTTTTAAGCTGAATTAAAATAACTTTATTAAAGGATAAAGTGCACTGCCTTCCATACTTGACACTCATCCGGGTTGATGAGTAAATTTCATTTCCTAGGATCCCATGGAACTACCATTAAAACCCAAGCACAAATTCAGATCAGATCTGACAAGAGATTAATTCTGAGCCAAGCAGCATTTATGTTTCCCTCACAAAACATTGCCCAAAAAAGGTAAAGCTTTAAAATCCAGTCTCCCCGATGACCACAACCTGGGCAACCTCTGGCATTTGGCAGTGTGAAGGGTTAGCACTGGAGTGCCACAGATGCGGGCGCCCTTTTGATATGCATACGAAAGCATCTTCAATGTAGCATGATAATGAGCCTTTTAAATATTCCGTTTTATTAATATGCATCGCTTATCTGACTTGTCAGAATTAAACAAGCCGAGAGAAAAGCACATCTTGAAATAAATGATAAATACCATAATTTTGCCCAGATATTTCACTGGTCAGTTACATTTAGTGATTTTAATGGAATGTTTTATTGTTATACTGTTTTATTGCTGTTTCATTGTTTTATTACTTTTTTTAAAAAAAGTGTGTTTTGTGAATTTTAAACACAGCAGCACTATTCTAAATCACTTCAGGATTTTTCACAGCGTAAAGCTGTATAGAGAGGACAAAACAGGTGAACGAATAATGTTATGCAGACAGGTAGGCCAAACTCTAGAGCAGGATGGAAAAGGTTGCTTTTTATGGACTGTGATTCCCAGAATGTGTAGCAAAACCGTATGAAAAATGTGGAGACCTCGACAACAACAAAAAGTGTTCTTGTCTCATTCCTATCTTGGAGACGAGAATGTTGTGGCGGATCAGCAGATTCTTAATAGGCTGTATCCACATGTCCAGATAGCCGGTCCCATGACGAATGAGTCCGTTAGTGAGATTTCTCCACATCCCCACCTGTGCATGAAGAAAATTGCAAATTATGGTGAAATCTTCCTTAAACTGAAGTTTTTTTTAAAAAAAAATTCCCCCCATTCCTGTATTATGCATTTGAACAGCATCTGAATGTGAGTTGGCTGGACTGTCTTCTCTGGTCTCTCTTCTCAGCGTCATAATTTTACATTTTTGTGTGTGTTTGATTTCTGGTCTTGGCAGCCAGAATCATTGCAGAGAATGGAATGACTGTCACACGAGGAAGGTGTGCTATTTTGTGGGCTGCCCAGCCTGCATTCTGTTGTGTCTTGATAGTGCAAGTGGTTGCAGGACCATTCGTATGACAAAAACTGGCAAATGCAACAAAATGTCTATATGATTGCATTTACGTGTATGATGTGGGGGAAACTTCTGCCTAAAGGTGGTAGCTACATTCTGTTCCAGTGACGTGAACGCACTCCTGGCAGGAGCAGCAGCTGCCAGCAGGCGGAGTGACTCCTCATTCTGCCCTTTCACTTAGAGCAATGGTCCCCAACCTTGGGCCTTTCCTCATTCTGCCGTTTCGCTTAGAGCAATGGTCCCCAACCTTGGGACTCCAGATGTTCTTGGACTTCAACTCCCAGAAATCCTGGCCAGCAGAAGTGGTGGTGAAGGCTTCTGGGGGCTGTAGTCCAAGAACATCTGGAGGCCCAAGGTTGGGGACCACTGGCTTAGAGGTAGAACATTACATCAGAGTTTCCTCAGCCAATCCTAGTGGCGATTAGGTAACTTAAAACATTACATCAGAGTTTCCTCAGCCAATACTAGTGGCGATTAGGTAACTAGTATCCTATCTGAATTCTCACAACATACTAAGTAACTCTTGCTGAGTTAATAAAAAGAGTTCTCAGGGTGTTGCCTTGAGGCTCCGCTGGCTCGGACATCTGTTGTCGACTCCTCTTTTTACTTTCTCTAAGGCTAATTGCCTTCCCTTGTTCCATGATCACATGATGAACTTTACCAGGAATTTGAGGCAACATGTTTAGCTGCTTCGCCGACTTGATCGTTTCCTGTAATAAAAGACAGGGCACTTTCACTCAATAGGTGTGGCTTTGCATGTGCCAAAATGGTGGCCCCACTGACTCACATTCCACTTTGGAGGTACCATCTCTTTCCAGAAATAGTAACTGGTTTATTCTCTCTCTTTTTTTGCAGACTGTCCTCCGTGATGGCAAAAGAGAGAGCATCATGAGCACACTCTTTGTCTCTCCATCTGATATTGAGAATGGACAGACCATTGTCTGCCGGGCCACCAACAAGGCAATTCCTAATGGAAAGGAGACCTCAGTCACCATTGACATTCAACGTGAGTCCCTTAACCCTTTGCAGCAACTTTTTGAATTCTATCCAATGACTACCTTCTTTCCGAAATCATTCCACCGTCCCCACCCCACCCCAGTTGTATGTGGAGGGAGCATGGTTGCAAAACATATATTGGCCTCAGTTTTGTTGCATTACTGTCAATCTCCCCTTAATGATCTTCCTATTCCTCTTTTGTATTCACTTGTAAGACGTATCTGTGTATACTGTGCAAACGTGTGTGTTTATGCATGCATTTCGCCTAATGTACAAATGAATGTATGCATTTTGCCAGATTTATGCATCCCCCCCCATGACTTGAATACAAAAGGCAAAACCCTGCTGCATAAATTTACATGGACAGAAGCCGAGGACATCATCAGCTGGCATCAGTAAAATTTAATTTAAACTGATTGAAAGCTATCTCTCCCCCCTTTCAGGTCCCAAGGTTCCTGGGGCTTCTTTTTGCCCTGGAGAAGCCTTTGGGAGCCTCAGGACCGGGGGTGGGGAGGAGCCTTTAATAGTAAATTGCCACCAGATCATCAACAGTGGTTCCAATCCCAGTGTTGGAGATCCAGCAGTGATTTTCTTTATTAATTGCTTCCCCCCCCCCAATTCTGAAGTTTCAGAAGTCTTCCTCGGGGCAAAAGGGAGCCTTAGGGAGCCTCAGAACTTGAAACGGGGAAGGGAGCTTTCAATTAATTTGAATTACATTTTGCCAGTACCAGCTGATGATGTCATTGGCATTTGTCAGTATAGGTTTACACCCATAGGATTTTGGCCCACTCGTTTGCACATATTTTTAAGGCTAAAATTCAAATACATCTAGCCCTGTTTAAGAGGTAGACGGCATAAACAGTAGCTTTATCAGTGCCTTAATGAGACAAACAGGCTTCTGTCTAATATAAATTGTTTCCACTAATAATATGCCATATATGTCTCAGTTTACAACACAACAGAACAAAATGTCCATTATTGTAACACCAGAACATGGCAAAGTCCTAATGTTATTGTTCCCAGCCATGCTTGTAAAGAATGGAACATGTGAAAGCACAATGCTATAGGGACCTTCATGGCACTTGTTAGACCTTGGGAAACACAGTAGTGGTTGATGTGTCTTGTAATCAAAAAGTAAAGGTGCTCTAGTCAGAGCAAGCCACTATGGCAGATTATCTTAGCAACCATATTTTGAATGAATATATTCTTTGTAAGGCAACCTTCCATCAGTCATGTGTCAAAGGTGAAGAAAAGTGTTCACAGCAGCCATTGGATTGCTAGGCAGTTGTAGTCTAGATGATTTAGCTCTCTGAATTACTGAAGGTTATTGCCAGGGGAATTGACAGGCTTCAGATGCAACTTGAAAATGAACGTCTGGAGAGAAAAGAAAAGGGCAAAGGTGGGGTGCCGATGCTGAGTCTACACATCTGGATGTCATTGTTATCTGTTGTGATTGAAGTGAGGAAGACTAATGGAAGGAGGTTGGCTCTAACTTGAATTCACAGAATAGAAGAATGGAATTGGAAGGGCCCTATAAGGCCATGGAGTCCAACCCTCTGCTCAATGTAGAAATCCAAGTTAAAGTATATTGAACAGGGGGCCGCTTAAATTTCTCTTGAATGCCTCCACTGTTGGAGTGCCCACCACCTCCCAAGGTAACTGGTTCCATTGTCATACTACTCCTAGGACATTTTTTCCTCATATTTAGACAACATCTGGCTTCATGTAACTTGAACCCATTATTACGTGTCTTGCACTCTGATATGATTGAGAAGAGATCCTGCCCCGCCTCTGTATGGCAACCTTTCAAGTATTTGGAAAGGGCTATCAAATCTCCCCTTAGTCTTTTATTCTCAAGACTAAACATGCCCAATTCTTTCAGTCTTTCCTCACAGGGTTTAGTTTCCAGTCCCCTAATTATCCTAGTTCCCTTCCTCTGAACCTGTTCCAGTTTGTCTCCATCCTTCTTAAAATGCGATGTCCAGGACTGGACACAGTACTCAAGACGAGACCTAACCTGTGCCAGACAGATGGGAATTAGTACTTCATGTGATTTCAAACAGATGGGAATTAGTACTTCATGTGATTTGAAGACTATACTTCTATTAGTTAGCATAAATCATGGCAAAAACAACCCAACAGCTTCATAGGATGATGAACCTCTATTAGTTATCATAAATCATGGCAAAAACAACCCAACAGCTTCATAGGATGATGAACTAGAAACCAGTCCAGGAGAAAAGGTACAAACCCAACAATTGTGGATGAAAAAATGATAATGGCAAAAATCCTGTTGCTTAGCGTAGAAAACCACACTAGAGTAGACCTACTTACTCAATAAGAATTTATATTAAAGTAAGAGTAGGCTTATTTCCGTCAATTGAACTTATAGAGGAGTCGAGTCATCAAATTCCCATTGATTCAAAGGGTTTATTCTATTGCAGTTTACTACACTGCGCAGTAGGGTCTGGGCCAATATATTGTTGAATATTGAGAAAGAATTAGAGGAGGGGGTAAGCATGGGCAGCTCCAAAAGTCAGAACATGAAGTTGAGACTTAACTATATTATGAAAAAACATCAGGACAATTTCTTAGAACTCAGTTATGATATCTGTTATGTATTAAGACTCCTTTGAGACATGTCCTGAATTTCTAGCATGCCTTTAGAAATCTACCACAATATTGGCAAGTAGCTTGCAATAGGTCTAGCACAGGTATCAAAGGCTGAATGTCATAGTCACTCCTTCCGCATGGCAGTAACTCCTGCTTTCACCCACATTCCTTTTGTTAAGTGCCAAATGCAATGACATTTCAATCTGGTGGCCTCTTGTGCAGAAGAACTGCATTCACATACAGTACAATTTAAGACAGGGTTGTGATTCTGTGCAAGGTCATCTAAATGGCAGAAACTGTGAGTCTGTAAGGGAAACACTGGTATTGACAACAAAGCTAAATCTGTTTACTGTTGGTCTACTTTGTTGGGATGCGGTTCTCATATTTCAAGGACTCCTGCTTGCTGACAGTACAGTGGTGCCCCGCATGATGACGATGATCCATTCCCCTGAAATCGCTGTTAAGAAAAATTGTCATAATGCGAAAAACAATTCCCCATTGGAATGCATTGAAACCCATTTAATGTGTTCCAATGGGGAAATTACCTCGTCATCCAGCAAAGATCACCCATAGGGAAGCCATTTTCCGAGCACCAATCAGTTGTTAAAATGGCTGCCCTGTGAAGCATGGGTCCGGAAAACACAGGGAGCCATTTTAGGAACCTGATAATCAGCTGGAAAAATCATCGTCTTGCAAACAAATGGTTCATGAAGCACGGACCTAATCGTCGGCAAACGAAAATCCCCCATAGGAAACATCGTTTTGCGATCGCAAAAAAGTCATCATCCTGCAGATTCGTCATTTAGCGGGGTGGTCGTCATGCGGGGCACCACTGTATATCAAGGCTACCTGTGAGCTGCTCCAAGGCTCCATGGAAAGCTTGGTCTTGCCACCCATTAGGATCTACAGGGAGCCGCTCACAGAACTTCTTCACCCAAGTAGCTTTTCAGCCACCTACAGGTCGCTTTGCTATACTGCCAGGGAGCAGCAGGGCTCCCTCTCCTTCCTTCAAACCTGAAAGAGTGGAAGGGTGGTGCAGACAGAAACCTCCCTTTTCCTTGTGACTTGTACTTTCCAGGGATGTTGGCAAGTCTTTGAGTCCAAGTCTAAGTCCAGATCTTTGGTCTCAAATCCCCAAGTCGAAGTCCGAGTCTTTCATGCCAGGTCCAAGGGCCCAAACTCCAAGTCCCTATTTTAAAAAAGCTCTTCCCCCCCACCAGGAACAAAGAGAGGGGTGGGTGGGTTCCACATTATAAGTCAGGAATCACTTAAAAAAAAAAGGTGAGTCATAGATGTGACTTAAGTCCAACTTGACAGTGAGTCCCCATCCCTGTTGAATTCTGGAGGTGAGAGTCTTTGAAACAGGAAAATCCCATTCCTGGCATTTTGGACAACCATGGGGCATAATAAGTTGAATTCTGAAGGCGAGAGTCTTTGAAGCAGGAAAATCCCATTCCTAGCATTTTGGACAACCATGGGGCATAATAAGCCCCTTCCATTCTCTCAACACTCATTCACAGTGTGTTGCCGTGTGTTGTATCTCTAGCCCTCAACTGCACAAATCATCCCGGCTGAAAAGGCCCTTCAGACCCTCCGAATTTCAGAATCTCTTAGTCTTTGTCTTTACTGTGCAAAGAGACCCTTTTGGCCAACCCCTCTTGCTATTATTTACTCATCCAAGCCTCCACGTTTTACATCAGAACAAATATTTATGCTTCTAGCCTCAGAAATGTTATCCTTCCCTTTCATTCAGTAATACTTCTAGAAGTATTGACCAGATAGGCGTGGTACAAATAGAATGAATGAATGAATGAATGAATGAATGAATGAATGAATGAATGAATGAATGAATGAGGGTGGACAACTATGGTCTGTTTCAGCACTCCACCAATAGCTACGCCACCTGGGGCTACTGCAGTTCAGTGACGGAAGCTGTTGCCCACTCAGTTCTAGATTTTTTCCCTAAGCCATATAAACACTGATTAACTGGAATTAAGATATCAGTTGAATGTGTGAACATTATTCACCTCTGATCTTCATCGACCTTAAATCAACCCTCATCAAACAGAATAAAGCTGCTCAGTTCAATCTAATGGGCTGGGAATTTTTTCTTTTCTTCTTAGAATTAGATCTGTTAATCACTGGTGAACCACTGTTGTTTAAAATCCCCCCCTATTAAGTTCTCCGAACAAATAGATGTTGCTAGTTGTTTACATTTTTATCACTGGTTTCCTCCGTTGTCTGAAAGTATTTCATTTTCTTGCTCCAGTGCCCTTCCTAGCCTCATTTAGTTGCCAAACACACTGTCTCGAATAAATCTCAGACCGGATCCAGTAGGAGTCATATTTGTGAAACGTCTAGCGATGCACTCAATAAAGCTGGCATTTCTAAAGAAGC